AATATTTTATGCATCAATTTGAGTACTAACAAGGATTAGGTTCATACCCCATCACATCAAACAGACACAGTTCAATAAAAGCCCAAACAGATATATACGTGAATGACAATAATGCATAGACTCCCAAGTGAAATTATATTTGACCAAATCTTACATTATATCAGCAGTTCAACAAAACTCGTTGGTTTATACGCGTTTTATTAATAAAATATACCAATAGATAATTGAAATAAAAAAGTTGTTCTCATCTTTAATCCCTAATCATGAAGATATCTTTAATATGGCTTAGGCAAATTGAAGTGAATTTAATAGTTTGCATCTGGATTAATTGAATCTTATATTGTTAATAACATATTATTTGACTTTCCTCCAAATTAAAGGACATCAGGATGTTGGGGTTTTTATATTATACTTATTAAAGATCTGCTAGCCTATTACTCGTGTTAGGTTATGTACAGGAGCAGTTTAATTTAACCTTGTTTTGTGGGTCATTTGGAATGTTGTTGTTGGAGGCAACCTTGAAAAGGATAAGCAGTTGTGTCAGGTATTGTTTGACCTAAGCTGGTAATAGTAGATACATGTTCAATCTTGTTGCCCATTCTCAATTGTCCCTAATCTCACCATAACACAAGAAAGCATTGCGATACGATTTTCTTCTTTTTCATGATGAATTCATCAACTTGTATTTCAATTAGCTATTTGAGTTTTATTTTTCACGAGGTAACAAATCAAAAATGTGAACAAGCGATTATTTCATATAAGAAAATGAACGCAAGTGGGAAGAAGCGTATGGGGAAAAACTTGGTAGGGAAGAAGAGTAGGTCCAAACTATTTCATTTTACGGATGGTATGTAATATAATATGTTATAAACAAATTAGATAATATTATATTATTTTAAGAAAATCAAAATTTATTTTAAATTATATGATTTATACAATTTATTCAGTGTATAACTACGCATTTTAACAGTTAATTTACCATGTACTGTGTAGCTCCTTTGTCCATTGCTTTTGAAAGTCCTGTAATCCATTCGAACGAAATTGACTGTCAAAGTAACTGATAAGATAGCATTTTCTCTTCTGCTCTTAAAGGAAGCGACTGTGAAAATTAAAAGCTAGCACGGAAGGAAACAATAATCAAAGACATGCGTCAGCATAAGCTGACAAGGAATGACCCATGTTTCAATCAGTGTCCTAAAACTGTAATCTTCAAGAATAATGAAGGGGCTGTATTAACTGGGGGCCCCAAATGACTAAAATAATGTTTTGGGCAGTCATCCATGTCAACCCCACCAAATGGAAGACCAATGCTATTTTGTTTTTCTTTTTAAAAAAATGATGACATTTAATAAGTCAATAAAGACAATGATTATTAACCTGTGGTGGCTTTGGAATTTAGGAGTAGTTTGTGTGTGTGTGTGTGGGCAAAATGTACTATTTTAAAAATAAATTCCAACCCATAAATCAAAAGGGGTCAATGAAGACAAAGATGATCATGAAGGGAACATTCACCTAATCTGAAAACGAAGAATAATTTGTCACAATTGGACTATGATAATCAATAATATATAGTTTAATTTATAAAATTATTTTAAATTATGATATCTCAGCATTTTTAAAAAATATTTTCTTTATTGTTATTGTTCTCATGCGACAACTATTGATAGAAGGATTATAAGTAATGACTATCGGTATATGGTACAAAGTTATTATATGATCGGTTTAATTTGTTATATTTATTTGTTATTTGTTTGATGATGGGATGATCGAGTAGTTTAGATTTGTCAATTGTTATTTTATCTATTGATTGTGCATGCTGATAAATAATGGATGACGGAGTAGATGCTAGTTAGAGATGCGTCATATTTATAATTTTTATAAATTATAGTGTCGAAATAATATAACATAGAAAGTCTATGATATCATAAATATATGATGTTAGAAGTCAATACCGTGAGAAATCAATAATATCAAAATCATATTTTCAAATATACATAATAATGGAGACAACGTATATAACAAACATAAAATTCAATTTTTCAAAAATGGAACTTTTCCCATAGCTTTTAGTTAATATATATATGTACGTAATACAGATTTTAATCATTAAAGTCATGTAAAAACAATTATAAACAGGAGAGCATGGCTTAATTGTAATTTGCAACTTACTGATCCCACCGAAATCACGTTTAGCATAATTTGACGACTTATGAAATTATTTAACATTCACCGGTCCACGTTAAGCATATATGGTATACATAATGACAAACCTGAACCACTGAGATACTTTTGAATGAGGTAGGTAGGAGTCATAAGGCAGATATATATGAGCAAAGATAAATGATAATAAGAAACAAGATAAAGTTTATGAAGTATTATAGAGTTCAGTAATTTGTTAAAAGATGATGCTATTTTATGGTCTTCAATTAGTCTTCTAGTTATTTTAAGGGCTAAGCATGTACAAAAGTTGTAGAATAATGGAATTATCGTTATGGTTAAATGAAAGTAGTATTTTCATTAGAAGAACGAAAAGGGGCATCTCTTAATCTTAATTACTATACAATAATAGTATTTTCATTCGGTCGAGGTGTAGTGTTCAAGCTTAGGCTTCTTTTTAAGCTTATAAATAATGCAGTTATATACTTTTGTAGATAAGAAATTTAAAGAATGGGAATCTAAGGACCTGGCCATTATTAATGGGTAATTATCAAACACGTATGATATGTATATATGATTAATTATTTCTTCCGTGGAAACTTTTTAACTACACAAATAAAATCAATAAGATGAGAATATTTTTTTAACATGTATTATAAACTTAATTATAAAATAAAATATTCGTTTGTGAAATTAAATATATCTTAATGGCATAATAGTTTCTCTTTGAGCAAATTACAATGAATTTCGTGACCCATCAATCTAAGTATGGTGGTTTGGGCAAATAAAGCACATTGGAGATCCCTGAAAAACAATAGACGAATAATGGTAAAACCCAGAGCTGTTGAAGATAACTACCATTATTAATGGAATATCAACGTTGAACAAATTACGAGTGCTGAAAATAAAGAAGAAAGTCTCTTTCGTTGCATTTCTTGAGAAGATTAGATGTTATGGTTAATTAGCTTTTGATTCTTCACGTGTCGGCCGTTTTCGTCGTTTTCCTTTTCTTTTCCCCGTCAAGTCTTACATGAACAATATATTTTAATTAATTTATATGTTGATCTCATAAACTGTACGCAATCAATAAACTATTAAGGACACATTTGAGGAGTTACCGTATAACTAAAAATTAGATTTGTTTTGATAATGAAAGGTAACGTCATGAAAATGCTTAAAAGGTTTTGGTATTGACACAAATGTCGAACCACAAAAAAAATTCATGGTAAAGGAGATATATTCTATGCATTAATCGTATGATTTTTAATTTATTAAAAATACAATATAACATATATTTTTTCATATTTATATCAAAGATATATTTAAATATCAAAGTGTTACCGGTGGCAGATGCACTAAACCCCCATTAAGACCAAGTGCATCTCTATTATTTTGGAAAAGTGACTAAATTTAGCTTAATGTGTTAAGGAAAAAAGAAAAAAAATTATATTTTTTGTATACTCATTATTTTTAAGAAAATAAAATTAAAATTTTGGACCTCCATTCTTAAATTTCTGGATCAGTCACTGGTTATTACATCAAAATATGAGTGTAATTACATGTTTTTTTACATCTTAATTTCATATACAATATTTGGTCATACAAAATGTAATTATACACGTACATAAATTTAAATTATAAAATCAAATAGTATTTATGTAATTACATAAATTCCTATGTCTTTACGAAAAATTAAAGAGTGTAATTATACTCAATATAATAAGACTCGCAAATGATAATAGTCGATCATATTAAAGTTATATAACTACACATAGTTACATTCAAACCCAATCATCATGTAGATTTTTCAGACATTTTAAATTATACATTAAATTATCAATTTAACAAAACCTAACAATTACATGTTTTACGATGAATATAAACTTTCGTTGTTCCAGAAAAACCTCAATTTGTACAATAAGAATTGACTCACAAACACCTATACATTCAGACCCCACATTACGCAACAATAACTATTTAATTGGCCTAAATTACACTCTGTCATAGCAGTAACCTTCAAACGCACCATCTCCTTGAAACGATCCCAGAGTACATCCATCAACCTATGTTTTCCTTGAAAAATTCTGCAATTTCGTTCTTTCCAAGTCAAAGCAAGGAAGCAGTTTCAAGCCATGCAATAAACATAGGACAAAATTGACTTCCCCTTGGCATTACAGCTTGCCCAGCCGAGCTTCAGCCCCCGATTCATAACCACTCTCTTCATATTACATGCTAACAAAACTTTCCCTCAAACCTGCTTCGAATAAAAGCAGCTAAAAAATAAATGGTCACGAGATTCACATACATTATATTAATTTATTTACTTTTTTAGATACTATTAGTTTAAGGGAAATTGTTGAGTGACTTTAGTTGTTAAAGGGAGTGCTCTTTTTCTTTGATATTATAGATTCGATTAATTACGTCTATAAGATGTGTGTGCGTTATTAATAATTAAAAAAATATTATAAAAAAATATTATTTTATAATAATCTCTTATACTATTAAAAAAATATATTAGAGTGAGTGAAAAAAAATCTATTAGTTCGATTAATTTCACTATAATATTTGTAGGCGGTAGGTTTTTCTTTTTCCGACGGTCATATTTTAACAAAATATCAATGGTTCGATTAAACAAAGTCCAAAACACTTACGTGGTAGACAGATAAAACACATCATCATCATATATACCCACATTATTCAAAAGGAATAAAAATTATTTTAATACAAATAAAAGAAATCCATTACAATTTTTATTGGAAAAGTAGGAATAGAGAACAAAGTTAAATTTCTTTTTAAATTAATAAAAATTAAGGGAAAAAAAGAAGAAGAAGAAGAAGAAGAATTCGATTCAAAACACCTTCTCTCTCTCATTTGTCCAATCATCTGTCTCTTGAAATGTCAACCAAATTCTGGTAATTTGTTTAACTCTAAACCGTACTCTTTAACAGAGTTTTAATTTTTTCACATATAAATAACGATGACTCCCCAGGACTGAGAGCTCTCAGCCAAAGATAAGCGGGGGAAAAAACTTAGAATTTATTACTATGGCAGAAGAATTTCAAGCTGGAATTTGTGGAGAGACATGGTGGAATTCCTCGAAAACCATGTTTGCAGGGTGTTCTTATCCGTGTCCTACGGGGATTGCTGCTGACATGGGAAGCTTCGGATGGGGTGCTGATATGGCGGATATGAAGGCGAGGTGTTCCTATGAGGAGTCTGAAGATAGCTTAGCTTTCCAGGTGGGAGCTCAACAAGGTGATTCAGATAGTTGTGGCACCAGTATTTTACTTGATTCTACCTTACAAATGATGGGTTTCGGCTTTTCGTCATCGACAACCTCGGACTGGAACCAGTCTTTGATGTAAGTTTTCATGTTTTATAATTACTGATATAACTAGCATATAATCCACGATTAAATATGAGTTCTTGTGGTTGAAGTTCAAATACTAGGAGACCTTTGAGTCCAAAGCTTCAACCACAAGTTAGGAAAGAAGGATGACCTTTTAGTTTTACTCAGTAAAGGAAGTCAATATGACTTTATTAGATGAATATATATACTTTTGTCCTTGCCTGCAGTCGGAGTAATGAAAGAAGTGAAGGTTACAATTCAATTCTTCAGGAAGGTATGGATTCTTCTGAAACCCAAAAGGATCGGAGTCCAATGAGCTATGCAAGCCGCGGGGAAGATTCCTGCGTTACCGCTTTCAAGCCTATCAATCAAGATTTCTCGTTGGAGCAGCAGAGATTGAATTCAGTAACTAGCTCCGGTAACAGAAATGCCACCTGCCAGTTTCCGATGGATTATTGGTACACATCGACACTGTTACAAACTTTGTTTCAATCTGATCCTCAATCCCAACAACAATCACTTTTCAACAACAACCGGTCAATCAACTATATGTCGGCAGCAGCCACTTACGGGGCAAACAGCGCTACTGAATCATTACCTTCTTGGCCAAAACTAGCACCTTTATTAAGGTCATCATTGCCAAAACAGCTGCCCAAGAGTAACTTGCACTTCAACAACAACAACGAGTCCTTTTGGAACGCTTCCGCCACTGGTGTAAACGACGTCAAAGCCGGCTTTTTACCCTCCCGACTGCAATCCGAGTTTCTTTTACAAACATTTGAGGAAAAACCTTACTGTCCCGGCCTAACGAAAAAGGTAAATAAATAAGTATTTCTTTTAATCATGTTCATGCTTGGATCCAGGGCTAGGGTTTCTGGAACAATTTTGATTTATTTATTTCATGTTGTGGACTGGTTTCATAGACTAATACAGAAGAAGCTCGGAACTCGGCGTCAACGATGAAGAACGGATTAAGCAGTGAGACTCCATTATTGAAGAGGCCAAGGATTGAAACGCCATCGCCATTACCAGCTTTTAAGGTACTAAAATATAAATATTCGACCAAGTTTTTTTACAGGTGGAATCATAGTGATCAATTATTCAAAGAATTAGACATGAAAATTGATAGCAAATTTGATCAGGTTCGGAAAGAGAAGCTTGGGGACCGAATCACTGCGCTCCAGCAATTGGTTTCACCTTTCGGAAAGGTAAAATTTTGGATTTTTCTTATAACTCTACTTTTTACAATTTTCTTTTTCCTTTTGATAATATCGTTGAAAGCTTTGCCTTTATCTTTGCCTTTGGATTATTCTTTAGCTTACCCATTTTTTTTTTCATTTTTCCAGACCGATACTGCATCTGTTCTTCAAGAAGCTACGGAATACATCAAGTTCCTCCACGAACAAGTCAATGTATGTTCCTCTATCTTCTTTACATTTCTTGTAAGATCGCATCAGTAAACCCATTAATGATTAACCTACTTTTTAATATAACATGAAGAAGAGTGGATACCATTACCATCTAGAGTATTCTGAATATGAACTGAGAAAATAATATTTTTACGTAATTTCAGGTTCTAAGTACTCCATATACGAAACAAGCAGCAGCTTCCATAAAACAACAACAGGTATCTATAAAAATATACAAAAGAAAACTTTGATGATAAGGGATCATCATTTTCAGTGTGCCAATAATATCAAGCTTAATTACTATTTGAATAATGTACTTTTTCTTTCTTTCTTGCAGAGTACTGAAAGTCCGGAACGAGATCTAAGGAGCCTTGGGCTTTGTTTGGTGCCGATCTCCAGCACATTCCCGGTTGATAATGTTGATTTTTGGACGCCAACATTTGGTGGGACTTTCAGGTAGGGAATAGAAGACAATTAAATAAAAAGCTAAAAGGAGTTTGTACAACAACTATACTGCGGTAGATTAAGTACCAGACCCCAGTCCTGCCAATATCCATAAAGTGGAAAAAAGAAGAAAAGATAATGGGAAACTTAGAAGGCTGGCTGGCTACTGTATCAGATATCAGTCTTGATAAAAAGCTAAAGAAAACAAAGAAAAAAAGTGAGAAGAAAAGGAAGTGACTATTCATTATTCAAAGATGGACAAAGAGAGAACGGTGTGCTGAACTGCTGGCAAATGATTAGGAAGCAAACCCTTTGAAGGATTAAAAAAAGATTAGATAAGATAACCATTGTATAGTTTTTTGTGTGCAATAATCCAAGTATTAATTAAATATATAGTTGAAAGTAATGAAAGAACAGGTGGAAAATTCTGCGAAAATTTGTTGATGTTTAGGAACTGAATTTAGCAGATTGTGGGGCTTAAAGAGCCCTTTTGTTCCTTTTGAGTATGTGTATAGGGCAACCATCCCTTTTATCATCTTTCACTTATATAATGAGAGATAAATAATTAAAGAGGTTCCATAGAGTTGTATTTGAGTTTCTTCTTGTTGAAGACTGGGATTGAGTGGGCAACCATCCACACACACATATATATATATATATATATTTGCAGGTAGTGGAAGCCAGAGGGCGGCCCACTGTTCCTGATTTTAGGGTTTGCTTAATTATGATATAAAAAGATTAAAAAATAAAGAAGAAAAACACTCTTTTCAAATGATTCATTTGGGTTTGTTGGATCAAGATAAGCCAAAACTCCAGGTACCCTTCCATCTTTTGATTATCTAACTCGAAAGCAAAGGTTTTGGTTTTATTTATTCGGTTCTAATAATAGGCAAACACTATTCATTATGATCGTAGGATCCCATTTTAGCATTATATGTTTGCCAATGCTAATGCCAAGTAATTGACAGTTGCTAAAAGTTGTAATTAAGGGTCCTTTGATCACTGCAAAAACTTGCTCAACATGTAATTATGGATTTCTAATAATTATGTGGTAGCTCCATGTTCATTGGCATAACGTTTGGAATTTTCTGTAACATTATACTTGATGAATATTTAGCATATATCTTTATCAAGGATATAATATCCTTTGAGAATTTCAAAAGAAAATATTTCATTCATGTTTCTCTTAGATTCTTATTTGATTTAATGGTAAAGAGAAATTTCAAGATCTTTTTAATAATATCATTTCATTCATTGAAAAAAAATACAAATTGTTACGATACGACTCCAATTAACTCTAGCACCCTTAGCAGAAGTGTCCGAGACTTTATATTAAAAAAAACATCACTCAAGTAATTTTCTTCATAATCATTGACGGCAAGGAAGATCTCTACATCAAAAATTCTGGCTTGGTAATAGAAGCCTCAGTCCATCATAGAAAACTTGCTGGAAACCCCACAACCCTTGGAATCTGTAACAGGAAACTCTAATCAAGTGAGTAAACTGCTTTCTTTAAATCTATTTTAAGAGCACACCTAGATGACATATGCTTTCGGCCAAATCCACGAACAAGCTTCTGAAAGCATTACATTTTCAACAAGATCTCTGCCCTCTATGGATGCACATTGATAATTAGAAATGAAATAAGTCGGACACTTGTTCTTCCTATTTGCAATTGGCCTAATATATAATCTGAACTCTCAGTTGGTCTAGACATTAGGTTGAAATCTCCAGCCAAAATCCAGGGTGATGTCCCCAACTATAGATTGAACCTTCTTCAAGTTTCTCTATAACTCCCTTCTCAACAACCCACTATTACTGCCATATACTACAGAGTGGAAAAAATTTGACCCTCCAACACTGATATAACAAGTAATAATTACATAATACATATTGAAATTCGAAATCAAACTTGTTACGTATCATCTCGTAGAATAATTACATTGAAAAATTTAATTATATATCAATTGATTTCAATTTCATCTTTTAATTTTTTTCCCTTTGTGTTACAGAAAAGTACAAAGATGGAGACATAAAATGGAATACTAAAAAGGGAAAGCATCTGGGCATCATTGCTGATGTTAATAAAGTATATATGAGTTCCATCAATGTATGAGCTTCGATATGTCACTTTAGTAAAAGATGTTAATGAACTCAAGTAGTACTTTCTTCTCATCTTCCACTACAAGTCTTTTTTTTATTAGCTTGAAAACAGTCATTTCTTTTCAGTCCTTTGGATCCAATATAGCACGCCATTCTCGAATCAACACCCTATGGCTTATAATAGCCTTCCAAGGAAGTTCTCTCACACTATTGTTACAGATTCTCTCGAATTTTTTTGGGGTATTGATGGGAAAAATGATTTGTCGCCAACTTATTCTTTTCTTTGTTTTCTCATGCTATTTGACATGTCGGAAACGTTCCTTTTTCAAAGGAGATTTCATTTGTATTGTGTAAGAATTTTGACCCCAGATTGCATTATTATCATTATTCAAACATATCAAATAAGTTTGAACTAATTCTATCATAGGAGCATCTAGAACATGAGGCATTGCGAGAATCACTGTGTTGAAGGATCCACTGCCTTTGCTATGAGTTGTCATGGCTACGACCTGTCTCGATTCTGACCATGACAACTCAAAAATGTTTGTAACCCAGATGCTAAGATTATGAACATAATGTCAATTTAATTGCAAGCATTTAGAGTCGTAACTTTCTCGAATTAATAATACTACAAACAAAGATCTAAGATTTATTCAGTAACAGACCGGGGCCCTAGTGTGGAACCTTTAAAGAGCCGAAGCTTCTAGCGAGCATGAGGCATGGTTGCAACAAAATAAGCTGAAATGGTCTGAAGCCGAAGGCTTGGGTTCAAATTAAGCAGCCGTTTTTCACCAGCTTGTTACAAGAGAATTGAGAGGAGATGATAATTCAATATGTTGAAAAGGTATTCTCATTGGTTTGATGGTACAAAAATTAAAATGTCAGTGGATTGATTGCTAACGACCCTCCAATAAGGTAACAGTCATCTCATTCGAAATTAGATTCCCAATGGACGATGAATCCGTCTCGGAAAGACACCTCTCTGCATAGAACCCAGGTCTACCAGGTTGAGGCAATGTCATACTCTCGCTATCCAACATCAACACCACTGTTTGCATCACTGGCCTGTCTTCTGGCCTTTGTTGCACACAAAGGAGCCCCACCTGTACGCATCTTAGTGCTTCCTCTTCTGGAAAACCTTGTTCCATCAATTCATCCACTAATTCCAGGGCCTTCTCTTCATTCCACAACTTCCAGGCCTAAACATTCATTGTCGAGTTAGAGAAGTTTAAACAGAAAATTTAACAGATAACATTTGATTCCACTTCCACTGTGTATATACTTACATGCCCCAGAAGGTTGAGTTTGTGTGTGGAATGGAAAAACCCCCGGTTCTTCTTTCCACTCACCATCTCCAACAATATGACCCCAAAGCTGAACACATCAGATTTCAAAGAGAAGTGTCCGTCTATTGCATACTCTGGTGGCATATAACCACTGTGTTCATCACCAAAGCCAACAGTATCATTTTCAGCTCTAAAATTCAAATCTTAAAACACTTTGATACAGCTACACAACCTTGTACTTACTAGGTTCCAACTATCCTTTTCGTATTTGCTTCAGTTTGATCCCCGAGGAATGTTCTCGCCATTCCGAAGTCAGAAATTTTGGGATTCATATCGTTGTCCAACAGAACATTGCTGGCCTTTAGATCCCTATGGATAATTCTCAGCCTTGAGTCTCTATGAAGATAAAGAAGCCCACGAGATATCCCAACAATGATGTCATGTCTTCTTCTCCAGTCAAGTGAAGGCCGTCTTGTTTCATCTGCAGCCATTGTACATCATTTATGGTTTTGACAGTCTTAACCTTGAAATCGAAAGGGATCAATACCGGTCCAGCTTCTATTTGCAAAGGATACGTATCAGAAAAAATTAATAGAAAGTTGAGATCGATACCAAAGATAAAGGAGTCCAAGCTTCTATTCGGCATGTACTCATAGATTAACATTCTCTCTTCCCTTTCAATGCAACAACCTAGTAGCTTCACCAGATTTCTATGTTGAAGTTTGGAGATTAAAAGGACTTCATTTTTGAACTCTTGAAGGCCTTGTCCAGAATTCTCTGCAAGTCTCTTCACTGCCACTTCTTGTCCGGACTGCAGCTCACCCTATGAATTATTTCAAACATTATTTAGTAACATTAACGGGAAAAAAGGGAAGAAAGAACAATTTGAAAATTTATTTCTACCTTGTATACTGGTCCATATCCACCTTCTCCGATCTTGTTTGCAGCCGAAAAGTTGTTAGTAGCAGCTTGAACAGTTGCAAATTCAACTAAGGGAAGTTCAAGATCATCCTCACTTTCAACTTTGCTAATGGTCACTTGATTTTCTGGCTGATGAGCTGTTAATACGAACATTCATAAGTTAACAAAGATGAATTAAGAAAGTAAAACAGAGGTAATGCCAAGTTTCATGCAAAGCATACCTCTAATCATATTTTTCTTCCAATTCACAAACCAGCCAATGAAAACCAAGATGATCATTGCTGAAGCCACTGATATAGTTGTCGCAATTGTCACATTCTTCCTATTTTTGCTTGTATCAGCATGTCTTTCTACCAATAAAAATTGAAAGAAAAAAATAAAATTTCAGGAAGTATTTCTTTGAAAGAATGAAATTTTTATATGATAATTAAACCAAACAAGTAAAAGAACACCAATGTGGCAAGCAAGATATGCCCTGCGTCAGACAATGCAAAGCATCCTTTATTTGTTGAAATGGAATACTGTTAAGATTTAGATAAAGAAATCTCACCAAGTGCAGAGGATGCCATTTTTATATAAAGATCTTGTCCATATTGGGGAGCTTCTCTAATATCAATTAGGTCTTCATACCAGATTACGCAGCCATTCCCTGTGCCTTTAATGTCTAGTTTAGCATATGCAGTGCAAGAACAATTCTTCAGGCACTCTGCCTCGCAATCTTCGATTTTCATACTTACATTCACCCTAAACTGAGATGCATCTGGCAGTTTCAGCCCTGTAAATTTCAGAAACCCTTCTCCTTCATGGCATACACGTTGATCTTTTCGTACGCATCCGCCTGACCAGTCAAGGACATCCCAATCTTTGGACAATTTGGGCTCAAAGCCCTTCAAGCAGTCACAGTTGGGGGTCTTGTTAATGTTGCAAATACCGTAGCTACCACACAAGCCATAGTTATCACATCTATCTTGTTCAACTGTGAATATGAGGTACCAATCAGAGTGGCGAACATTCCAGGAAAGGTGCTGAACCGAGCCGGATTGACTCAACACAAACCTTGATGGGATATTGGCTGTTATGTTATATGAATAATAAA